TTCGCCTTTAGTTCAATGGGTAGCTTCTGCTGGTGGAGCAGAGGAGCTATGGTTTAGATGGCAATTATGGAGTTCTGTGTTTTGTGAACATGGAATGAACCCAGACCGACTGTTGCCCAGAGCTGCTTGAGCTCTGTTTAAACGAGGAAGAGGTGGGTCCATAATGGAGTTAGAGCTGGTTGAAATATTTTTTTCATTAAAAAATGGCTTTTAAACCAAAACATTTTTTCTGGTTTTCAACCATATAAAGCTTTCGGTTTGAAGTAGTTTTCAAAAACGAGTTTTTGTAATTGACAATTTTTGAAAGTCAAAGTTTTTGATTTTTGGTTCTGTTTTGTATTGGAAAAAAAATTATGGCCTCAAAGAATGAAGTGTCAGTCCTGTTACTTCCTCTGACTGGGCTACAAGGGTTATAAATGCTAATATCAGGCAACATTGATTCAGAATTAGCTTAAATGATAGAGGTATGTGTTTTTTGGAGAGGAAGACCAGAGGTTCTAGCTCTGCTGTTTTATGTGCAGCATAGCTGGCAACTCTGTCCTTTGTTACAAATTAAGGAAAATCCAGAAAAAACCAATCCAAGGGGGATGATTTTCTGTACAGTCAAGGGTGTGGCCAAAGGTTGTTATACATGCAACTTCCAAATTTAACAGGCGTTATATCATAACACACTTCACCTTATGTGTTAAGTTCTGGGGCACTGCTCTGTTCTGAAACATTATCTCCAGAATCCAAAACAAATCTTCATTCTTCCCTTTTAAATTGTTCTCCTGCAGCTACTTGTCTTGGCACGAAATATTAGCCATATGATCACTGGACTATCTGCCTTGACCTTGACCTCTGAGTATGTGCTGTCAGAAAAATTTCCCTGCATTTCACTGAGTGGTGCTCCATTGGTATTCCTGTCTGTTGGAAGCATCTCATTGTTCTACAGTAGTATATTTTTCACTTTGATCAAATGTCTTGCTAAAGCACATTCTTTCTTTTTGGTTAGGGGTGGAGAGCAAGATACTAGTTGGCGCTTATCTGTGAAGTTTATTTATTTACTTTATTTCAGAAGTGAAAAGCATTCGCTAACGTCTGTGTCAGTCACTAGAAGGTGTCAAGCAATTAAAAAAATTAATCACGATTAATCGCGCAATTAAAAAAATTGCTCTGTTAATAATAGAATACCATTTATTTAAATATTTTTGGATGTTTTCTACATTTTCAAATATATTTATTTCAATTACAACACAGAATACAAAGTAGAGTGCTCACTTTATTTCTGATTAAATATTTGCACTGTAAAAAAATAGTATTTTTCAATTAATCTATAATACAAGTACTGTAGTGCAATCTCTTTATCATGAAAGTTGAACTTACAAACGTAGAATTATGTACAAAAAAACTGCATTCAAAAACAAAACAATATAAAACTTTAGAGCCTACAAGTCCACTCAGTCTTACTTCTTGTGCAGCCAAATCGCTAAGACAAACAAGTTTTACATTTATGGGGGATAATGCTGCCTGCTTCTTATTTACAATGTCACCTGAAAGTGAGAACAGGCGTTCGCATGGCACTGTTGTAGCCGGCATCGCAAGATATTTACATGCCAGGTGCACTAAAGATTCATGTCCCTTGATGCTTCAACCACCATTCCAGAGGACATGGGTCCATGCTGATGACGGGTTCTGCTCGATAATGATCCAAAGCAGTGCAGACCAATGCATATTCATTTTCATCATCTGAGTCAGATGCCACCAGCAGAAGGTTGATTTTCTTTTTTGGTGGTTCGGGTTCTGTAGTTTCTGCATCAGAGTGTTGGTCTTTTAAGACTTCTGAAAGCATGCTCCACACCTTGTCCCTCAAAGATTTTGGAAGGCACTTCAGATTCTTAAACCTTGGGTCAAGTGCTGTAGCTATCTTTAGAAATTTCGCATTGGTATCTTCTATGCATTTTGTCAAATCTGCAGTGAAAGTGTTCTTAAAACGAACAACATGCTGGGTCATCATTGAAGATTGCTATAACGTGAAATATATGTCAGAATGCGGGTAGAACAGAGCAGGAGACATGCAATTCTCCCCCAAGGAGTTCAGTCAAATTTAATTAACACTTTTTTTTTTAAATGAGCGTCATCAACATAGAAGCATGTCCTTTGGAATGGTGGCCAAAGCATGAAGGGGCATACGAACTTTTAGTATAACTGGCACGTAATACCTTGCAATTCCGGCTACAAAAGTGCCATGCAAACGTCTATTCTCATTTTCAGGTGACATTGTAAATAAGAAGCGGGCAGCATTATCTCCTGTAAACAAACTTGTTTCTCTTAACCACTGGCTGTACAAGAAGTAGGACTGAGTGGACTTGTAGGCTCTAAAGTTTTACATTTTGTTTCTGAGTGCACTTATGTAACAAAAAAAAAATTGACATTTGTAAGTTGCTCTTTCACGATAGAGATTGCACTACAGTATTTGTATGAGGTGAATTGAAATACTATTCCTTTTATCAGTTTTACAGTGCAAATATTTGTAATAAAAATAATATAAAGTGAGCAATGTACACTTTGTATTCCGTGTTGTAATTGAAATCAACGTATTTGAAAATACAGAAAAACATCCAAAATATTTAATCAATTTCAAGTGGTATTCTATTATTTAACAGTGCGATTAAAACTGCGATTAATCACCATGAATTTTTTGAGTTAATCTTATGAGTTAATTGTGATTAATTGACAGCCCTAGTTATTTGTATTGGTCTCATACACTGTATTTTAAAGTCAATTTGTTGACCTCCTATATAGACAGCAAAGCATCCTGAGTGAGCATGAGTGGAGGGCTAAGGCAGTTTAGGGTGGGGAACGACAATGAGGCAGTTCTAAGCTGTATGGGTTACTTGGCTTGTGATCAACTAGTGTGTGGTAGGGCAGGAGGAAAAAGTGCTACTACTTCGGTGGTGGTTTTGTTTTTTTGTTTTGTTTAAAAAAAATTTTTTTTTTAATATCTCCTATGTCTTCCGCCCCGCCCCCCACAGGGCTCGGGCTGGGCATCCTTTAGTACGGAATTTGTATAAAATCAAAATAACTAATCCCAGCAATGACCAGGCACCCCAATGGAAGTTATAATGCAGCATCTTCCTTGATGCTCATGAGTCCCATTCTACAGAGATTTCACTTTTCAGTGGTGAGAAATTACTCCCAAGTGATTAACATAAAAATGGCTTTTAATAGTGCTCTCATAGGAGATTGTGTGTGTGTCCCCCATACACTGCTGGCTGGAAGGCTTAAAATTGCAAGGATTAAAATGGATTAATTTGGTGTTCAAGAAGTGCAAAACACTTGGCTCAGGGGGTTGGTTATAGACTATGGAGCATTTCCCTTCAAGAATGCAGGTTCTAATGCAGACCAGGTTAGTACTGCCATCTAGTGGTGGACAATGGCCTCTTAAAAATGAATTGGTTTTCTCAGTGCATTTCTAGTGGGCAAGCATCCACAAGGTAGTTGACAAGTTCAGCAAATGGAGACATGGCAGCAGTGTGGTTCCTGCAAGCTGTAGTGACGTAAAGATACATCAGCAGAACAGGGTAATGGCTTGTATTGTTTCTGTTACCTGGATTAGAGATAAACAGATGAATTCACATTGCTGGTGTTGTGAATCTGCACTTTTCATGAGCTAATAGTCACTTACTGGGAGGTGGGAAGGGCAAAAGCCTACAGAAAACCCCAAATTCCACATGTACCGGAAATGAAAATTCAAACATCCATATAAAAGTTAAAACAGAGGGTTGACTGTATTGGGTCAAAATTGGAAGCCTAATAATACTGTAGTTTCAAAACTGTGTTCTTTTGAATTTGCCCATGTTAGAGAGTTTGAGTGTTTTGCACTTTTCAGACACTGTAGATAAAAGGCAAGATTTTCAAAATGACCAGTGATTTTGGGTGTCTCAATTTCTCTGTTCCCACCTTTAGACATGTTAAAGAGATCTGAGTTTCAGAAAGTGTTGAGCCATCCACCTGCTCAAAAAATCAGATCTCTTTAAGGCGTCTCCAGTTGGGCATCCAAAAACAGACACCCTAAATCACTACTGATGCTTAACAATCTTAGCCAAAGAACAAGGAGGCTAAAAACCCCAGCAGGCTCACAACAAAGTGGGCAGCTGTCTGGGAGTGGGGGCTTGTGGGCAAAAAAAAAAAAAAATTGAAAATATGTTTTAATTGCAACCTCCTAGGGGTACACTCTAAATCTTCTATTGGCCGAGCACATTGGGCACACCGGGGCCTCCTCAGATCCCTCCCCACCAGCTCCCTATGTGCCACCTTCCCATTCCCATCTATTTCAGGGACTCCTCCCACCCCCTCAACCATATGTTAGGGGTTCTGTGTGATGCCTATTTCCCCCTTCTACCACATGCCAGGAGCCCACCACAGATCTCCCAGCCCAGGGGGTGGGAAACTATGGTGGCTTTAAACCATCTTTTCACCTCCACATCCTGGGCTGCTCCAGGGGTTAGAGTAGCTCAATTACAGCATCGTCTGCAGGCGACTGAGTGGCAGCACTGCCTGGAATCTACATGCTCCAGCCCTGCCCAGGACACACCTCTCCTCCTACTCCCTGGCCTGGCCCTTATGGTAGGGTCAGAAGGCAACCTTACAGCTGCCTTCCTGAGTTCCCACACTGGCGGAATCCTCCCCCAATAAGAACTGGGGCTTTCAGAGCTCCTTTAGGCTCTCTTTCACTTGTCCCCTCCTTTAGGCTCTCCCCTTCTTGATTTCTTAGAAAAGGAGGTGAAGATTAATCATGAACTTTTCTGCTGCACTATAACTTAATGCTTTGGCATCTTCCTAAGGCTCTCGCTGCAATCTCTTTACCTAATGTATGTGTGCCTGACAAATTATAGTGAACAAACTTGAAAAATACCATAAAAGTTTGAGTAAGGAAAGCATGAATACACAATAATAGGGATTTTAGTCTGTACTTCTTTGGTTTTCATTTCAATACCTTTCTGTGTCCTTTCCTCCAGGTGTTCTAGTGATCTTGGCACTGACAGAAGAGCTGGTGTTTGCTGTTCAGATACTGCCTCCGAGTGTATCATCGTCTCAGGGCCTCCTGACAGACACTACCACTATCACAGCCATGGGGATAACAGCTCAACACAAAGGCCATCGCACGATAGGACCTGTTCCCACAACTACTCATTCAACTCTTCACTCAGCTCGCCCACTGGAGACACCTGCCCCTACCATTGACCAGAAGCAAGCAACCAGCAGCCATCCCGTTGGCAAAATGGAAACATATCACTTATACAACCAGAGTGCTTTGTATTCAGGACAGACCCGCCCAAAGGGGAAAATATTTCAGATTTTCAAAGGCAACTTCACAGAATCTACAGAGCCTTACCTAAAGACAGCACTGCACTCTCCCTTTCCTACTTTGAGGCGTTCATTCACTAACCACCCATTTCAGCCCCAGATTGCAGCCTCCAATGATCCCAATAGTACTGGGCCAGCAACTACGACAGACTCAAGCTCTTCTCTTCACAGCAACACCTTGGAAGGCCTTAAAAAAGCAGAGCGGGTAAATGGAACATGGCTAGTTATGCAGAGAGCAGATCTTACCACGCCAACAGCTGGCCCATCGACTGATCCCAAAACAGGGTCGGTGCCTTTTAAACCCACACACTATGATATATGGGATATCCTGAGCAAAAATAACTCTTGGGTAACCTTGAGTCCAAGTACAAATGTACCTTTGTTTGCCAGCCCTGGAACTGCAACAGCAGCAGGTCATTCAGTTCAGACCAGCTTTGATGTCAACATTTCATCACCTACAATGGGAAACCCTAAAGGAACCTCCATGACACCGCACACTATGGTGAATAATGCTACTTTATCCAACAGGGCTCTCTCCACAGCATCCACCACAAGGTTGGCCAGCTCCATTTCAACAGCTGGTTCCACAGCAACGGGAAACTTTCTAAACAGACTGGTGCCTGCTGGAACCTGGAAGCCTGGCATGCCCGGGAATATTTCCCATGTCACTGAGGGGGATAAACCGCAGCACAGAGCAACCATTTGTCTCACCAAGGTGGACATTGCCTGGATCATTCTGGCTATCAGTGTACCTATATCTTCATGTTGTGAGTTAATTGCTTCTTTTCTTTTTTCCTTTCTTGAGATACAAAATGTGTGCAAGCCCAATGGGATAAGTATTGGCTGGGGACTTACACTGCAAATGCTAACAAATTCATATGGGATTGCTTGTCGTCTATGTTTAGAGAAATAGATCAGAGAATGTGTTAAGTAGCCAAGACTAGAACACTGGCCTCTCAGTTCCAAAATGCAGGCTAAACACTTGAGCTAAAGGCAAACTCCCTTTGCAGGGATTAATAAGCAAGTCAGTTATCTTCTAGGTGGGCCATTCACTAGAGCATACCATAACTCGTCCAGTCACTCACAAAGTCTAGACATTACAGGTCTTGGTGAATTCTCTATCACTGGCAATTTTTAAATCAAGATTGGATGTTTTTTTAAAATATATGCTCTAGGAATTATTTTTTGGGGCAGTTCTATGGTCTGTACAGGAAATCAGACTAGATGATCACAGCAGTCCCTTCTGGCTGTGGAATCTATGAATACCTATAAATCTATGAGTACCTCAGCAGGAAATAGTGCCCTGACAGCGCACACACTGGGTGACACAAGCAATATGAGACAATATACACTGTGATGTCCTACTATACGCAGAGCTGAGATGGAGGTTCCACCAAACTGATCACACAAGCATAGTTAAGTGGGTCCATCAACAGTGCAAATAAGTGTGTCAAACAGTTACAGGAATATAAACATCTGCCAGCAACCATGGTTCCTGAGCGTTAACCCTGTTATGTTATATACAAGCTGTATTTAGACCCAATTTTGTTACTAATTACAAATTTGGTTAAAATGGTAGTGGAGACAGGGCCTAAGTCAGGCTGATTGCTGAAATAATGTTGGAACTGAAGTAAGTGTGTGTGTGTGTGAGAGAGAGAAGCAAGTATAATAAAAATGCGATTTTTTTTTTAAGGGCCAATATATCATGATCTGCTAAAGCTAGAAACACTTATGTGGACCAGTAGAAAGTCTGTCCAGACCAGAAAATATTTCCAAGCACTGGTCTTGAAGTAGAGCTCAGAAAGAAAAGTATATTAAAGCCCTGGATTAAGCATCTGGCTGAGTGCTAACAGCAAGCTGAATCTAGAGTGTCTTTTTGAAGGACTTCTGATTATCAATTTGTTTCTTACAGTAAAATAGTTTAACACATAGTGTAATATGTGTTCGTATAACTACATTTTTACATCTCTTATATTGCAAGCTGTGATTTCAACAAGTCATGTATTGTTTTGAATTTGGCCTACATCAGTAGTGAGAGGGCAACGTTCTCAAATGCAGATAGGGACTAAAGAGCCTAAGTCCCATTGACTTTTCATTACTTAGGAGCCTAAGGCCCAGATCCTCCAAAGTGTTAGTGAGAGTTAGGCACCTAAACACCTTGAAGGCTCTGGGCTTAAATCTACATACAAAAAGTTGTGCTGTTTTAACTACACTGATATAATTAAAGTGGTACAAGGCCCCCTAAAGGTGGATGCAGTTATATTAACGTCTATGTACTTATAGTGGCACAGCTTATTCCCATAAGGGAAAGGGAATAAACTGTATCAGTAAAATGCACCTTTATACACCTATAACTGCATCTACACTATGAGCTGTACCAGTTAAACAAACAACAACAAAACCCACCACATCCCTACCTCACAATTATACTGGTACAAACTGCGTGTAGATGAGGTCTAAGTCGCTGTTGAAACATTTTACCCAGAGAACTTTTAACATTTGGTGGCCACCTTTCAGATAATTTTCTAGCAGAGAGATGTCCTCCTGCCAAATCCACTGTAGCACCTGCTCCACTTATTTTCAGCCTCAACAGAAAGTCAGTGGCTGTAATGGGCATGAAAAATCATCTCTCTGAGTCAGGGTCGAGGCACGTTGGTGGGATAACATGAGGAAACTTGCTCAAGCTGTACCTGCTGCATGGATAATTAGTCCCCAGTGTTGTCACTCCGGCAGTAAATTCATTTTTAAATGTTCTGAAGGGTCAGGCATGATCTATACATAGTGGCAGAAATGATTCTCCACATTGCAGCTCTCACATACTTTGCTCAGGTCAAAGGTTCAGAGTTCCTTTGCTTTCATTTCATTGCCCTGAAGATTTAACCACCTCCGCACACAAAAGCACCACAGTCTCTTTTTACCTACTGGATGCAAATGTCACTTTAGTTTCAGCAATGATCACTGAGCCAAGCAGCAGGCCTAGGACTCAAATCTCACTACATGAGTGATGTGAGATGAACATAATAGTAATGCATAGCTCATTGGTGCTAACTCTGCACACTGCTCTGCTACCATTGTATTTCTAAGGAACTCTCTCAAGCAACAGGACACACCATGCACAAAGTGTATGATGGCCCTTGTGAGTTATTTTGCTTGTCATATTAAAATGAAAAGAACGTTTTCCCTGATGGAAAGGCCTGTTATAGCTCCCTGGTGCCATTTCACAACAGAGGAAGCGTTGTCTTGTGAACCTCTTACATGTGCATATGTATCCTCGGATGCAGTCGAAATGAACAGTTGGTACTGTATCTCTGATACATAACAACCTGATGAAGCTGGGTGTATTGCATAGTAAAGACATTGCTGCCATCTTCAGGAAACAAATATATAAAGCCCTTCATTCCAGTCTCCAGGCAGAGGGGACTATAGATGAAAAGTGGGGGTTGTTCCTAATTTTGAGAAAATTTCGTTTTAAGGAACATGTTATAGTACAGTAAAAAAAATTATCTACAACTAACCGATTTGCTATGGGTATCTTCAAGGGGTGTTGTTGCAATGAAAAGGTTTCACAGCTATATGCAGTGTGCAAAATAAACTGAATGCAGTCCATCTCCCATTCTGAGTGATAAAGGGTGGGAAAATACAGACTGTTTTAACTCAGCTCCAAGCCAAGTCTATCAAATCTTAAATTCTTAGGCCACTGGCCCATTCTAAGGTGTTCTTAGGTGCCTAAGGCACTGAGTAAGGGGAAGAAAGATGATAATTGACTCAGAGGCAGGACTTTTGTTAAGGGTGTTCTTCAGCTACCAGTTCCCAGCTCTGAGCTCTGATGGGGAACCAGCGGGGTAAAGGCAGCATGAATTGGGAGGGCTGGACAGAGGTGTAGAGACTGGCACTGACCCAACAGTTACATGCTGAGAAGTCTGTCAGGGAGTACAAGTCTCCCTATCTGCTGAGATACAGGGCCTGCCAGCACTTGGCATTCCCAACTCCCTAAAGAAAGAGAAGGAGAAACCAGGTGTGGAGAGGGAATTGGTGCCTTTGCACAACAGAAGGGAGATGAGAGAGAGAGGCAGGAGTCAAATAAACCCAGCTCCCACCTCAATGAGGATAAGTGTGTTCCATCAGTAGGCCTGCGGATTTAGCCAAAACAAAATTAGAGAACTTTCCAGCATGTTCCAAAGGCTCTCTGTTATCACTAAAGTGTCTAAAGTATCATTCCCTCTACTTCAAGTGGTCCCCAGCTACAGTACCTCACCTCCCCATAAATGAAGCTTTCTAGAATTACACCTCTCAAATCAATTGACTCTTGAGGATGCTTTCACAAAGAGAATGCACACATTTTTCTAGAGGAGCATAACACTTATAATCTCTACTACTACTCATATCAACCTGCAGGAGCAGCACTTTTCCCTGGGGAACTGAGAACCCTAGAAGGGCCTTCTTTGAGAAGTAGTAATTCTGCACACAGGTACAGAGACATACAATATATTGGGAGGAGAAGACATCACTGCTCTAGGTGCCCCACGTACAGAGCATGACCCACATACTCAACTCTAGCACTTCTTCCCCCCCCCCCGCCCAACTATTACCATGAGGGCCAGCTAGATTACCTGTCAGGAGTGGTTCTCTCTATACAGTGTGGATCTACTGCTAACTAAGGAGCCTCTGGAGGTGCCTTCACTTTCCTATCCCATGGAACCAGAGGAAGGGGAAACTACACAGCTCCTGCAGGTCTCAGCTCCACAAGTCCAAGGGAAGAGGTTTTGGCAGGAACTTCACTGCTTCTCCCCAGGGGAGAAAAAATCCTCAAGTAGCCACCTAAATCTTCATTGATCCTGCTCATTGGATGGAAATTTTCCAAGATCAGGAGGCAAGAAAGTAGCGTGGGATCTCCCCAAGTCAAATGTGAACCAGCACCCTAGCCCTAGTCTGGCCTCAAACCGAAACCCACTATAAACCTAATTCCAATCCATATCTGAACACTGCTACCTCAGACCATAGCTAATGTAAAGGTGACAGTGTCACAATACCCACCAAATCTGCAAGTACCTGTTTTCAGGGCTACACCAAACCTCTTAGGTCTCGCTGGCATATGACAGGGAATGTTGTTCAGTGGTTAACTGCATCAATCAATGCACAGTATCACCTATCACGACACAGATTAGTTTAGTAGCCCAGCCTAGGTATTTGTGGACTGGGGGTTTATGCCCAGCTCCTCTATGTGACCTTGTGAGAGTTGCTTCATTTTTCAGTGCTTCAGTTTCACCAGCTAGACAAATGAGGGTAAGGCTAATTACTCCCCTTTGAGACCCACAGATAAAAAGGGCTAAATATTTTTATGTTCCCAAAGTGCCACATAACAATGAGATCGCTATTGCCAACTTGTCACAGTTTTTGGGATGTCCTTCAGGTAGCTTTGAATTTTTATTTTTTTTGGGTCTCTCTCGCACAGGATGTGTTGTGAAATTATTTTAAAACTCACATCACTGATCCCTCAAGTTCCAACTTCTTTAAAAATAAAAAGTGAAAAAAATCCTTCTGTAATTACCGAGTGACATGATTAGATGTAGAAGACGACAAACCTGTGAGTCAGATGCACAGCAGTACATTCATTTAGCCAGTTCTGCTGATTACAGAAAATGGGAGAGGGCGGCTGGCTTGCAGTGTGGAACATCAGCAGAACCCAAAGAATGTCTGAACTACTGCCTCGGATCCAGCTCTTCCTAGCTCATATTTCATCGACTGGTAAAGCTCAAAAGTGCCTTTTGCCAACCTTCATTCTTCATTGAAGAATCTATGAAAGTTTCTCCTGGAGTCTAGTTCTCCAAAGAGATAGATACTCCGGCCCTGATTCTGATCTCACCCTGTTTCATGCAGATGTACTGCACCACCGTAAGTGAGATCAGACTGAGATTTAGGCTGCTTCCGCACTACTCGCTAAGGTGTGATTCCCCTGCTCATGTACACATACTCACGCAAGCTCCCATCAATCTAGCGCTAGTATAAATACACCGTGGCCACAGTGGTACTGGTAGCAGTAGCAGAAGCACAGCTGAGCCATGCCGAGTCCAAACCTGCCTGAAACCGGTGGATACGTACTCGGCATGGCTCAGTTGCGTCTCTGCTGCTGCTATCAGTACAGCCGCAGCTACACTGCTATTTGTACTAGTGCTAGCTCAATGAGAGTTAGTGCAAGTATCTGTATATGAGCAGAGAAATCACACCTCTAGCTCATAGTATAGACATAAGCCTCAGCAGTGAATCCTGTGTTGAGCTGGAAGCAGCTGTCAGTCAGTAAAGAACTTCAATAATAACAGTAATATAGCTAAGACAGTGTAATAATATAGGCAGTGAAGGTAGTAAAACCTATTGTTAAAGTTGCTGGGCACTTCCTGTTATAAGAGAAGGTTACTCACCTTGTACAGTAATTGAGGTTCTTCAAGATGTGTCCCCCTGTGGGTGCTCCACTTCAGGTGTTGGAGCGCCCCAGCGCCATTGATCGGAGAATTTCATCAGCCGTGTCCGTCTGGGTCATGCATGCACAGTGGTTGTCTCGCAGCGCCGTTAGTGCCTCATCTATCACACGCACGACCCAATCCCCTCTCCTTCTCAACCATCCCCGGCCTGAGATGGAGCTCTGTAGCGACATCCCAATGTCTATGACGAAAGAGAAATAGTTTTAAGTTTCATAGTATAATTAGTAGTAGTTTGGTTAGTCTTCTTTACCATATATATTTTTTTATTATAAGATCCTGTTTTCAGTTGCATATAACTTTGCAAAAGTTAAACCATTTGAGTTGAAATTTTCCACTCTGGGTGCTTGCCTCAGGCTGAATATTTTTTGGGAGGGGGGTTGCTTTTGTTTTTGAAAGTTTCAGCCAAAACAATTGAGCTATTTCTGCGGGTGAGATTAGGGAAAAATCCATTGTTTTTCTTACATTATTCTTACAACCAGTGCATTATTTTTTTAGATGCTCTAGTGTCTCCATGCTTTGGAGCAGGGACTTGAAATTTGTCTGCGGGGTGTGTGTCAGGATGTGGCTTTTACTGTTCCCATGAAAAACTGGGCATATTTTCACACGGTATGAGCCTTTTAAAAAATCTCAGCTCACACATAATCAAGGGCAACTTGTTAGAGTATGGCTGCTAAAGTCTCCAAAGATTCTGTCTGCACTGAGAATGCCCCAGCCCTTCACAGCTCCTTGTGCAGATTGCACTGTGTGTACTCCACCATGGGACTGCAGGGGCTGGGCTGAGCAGGACTTTCCCTACAATTCACAGGAGCAGTAGACTCCAGAAATGAGAACAGGGAGACTCTCTCGTGCTCCTAGTGCCAGGTAGTGAGCAGAAGAAGAAAGTAGCCTGGCTTAGAATGAAGAGGAGTGAGACATGAGGGAGACAGTGTTGCAGGAACCAAAGGGGGGAAGCAGTGGGAGATAGGAGCCAGTTAGGGAAGCAGGAGAAGGGGAAGGTGGACATGAATCAGAGGGAAGATTATAGCTGAGGAGGAGAGGACAGGAGCTGGGAATGGATAGATAGGAAGAAAGGTGTACAGAGATAAACTTGTGGAGGATACAGGGACAGAAGGATCTATAACTTTGGAAAAACACACTACTCTCCAGAACCTGGAACTGAACCAAAAGTCCCGAGACTCTATGTATTTCTATTGTCAGCATATATATGTGAAACCCCAGGCACAGTGTGAGTCTCGTCCCCCTCTAGTAGCTGATCCCCATATTTAGTCTTCTACTACTACCACCAGTTACCCCATTAGCTAAGTGGTAGTGGTCTATGCTATAAAGGTCCAAACACTGCTGATAACCCAAGCTGAGGGTCAGTATGGTTCCACATGATGGAATTTTTAGATTTTTTCCAGATTTTTGTAAAGTCAGGAAATTACGTTTAAAAAATCAATATGAAAAGAATGTTAAGATTGTAAAGTCAAGTTTTCAAAAGTTAGGAAATGTCAGATTTAAGAGTTGCCCATGAAACTTTAATTGACCTCACTTATGTGTGGGAAATATGATTGTAAGCAGAGACTCTTACTATTTATTTCCACAGTTCCCCTGCCTGTCAGTGCACATGCTACTCCTGGGGAAATTCTGTGCCCCTGCAGCGCAGTAGAAAAATGCCCTCCCACCCCTTCCTTTTGCTTCCTTGCAGAAAATGGTTTCCGTGGGGAAGCAAAGAGACGCTGCACCAGTGGTCACTCACCCCTCCCCAGCAGCTCAGGCAGTCAGGGAGAGAGGTCTGGGGATTCCCCTGGCCACCCAGGGAGGTTAGTCCCAGCAGGGCGGGATGGGGATGGAGTTCCACCTCCCCCTTCCCTGCATGGAGCAGCTAGGACCGGGTCAGATCAAGCCCCAGAAACTTATAATGGCTGCAGGGCAGGCTTAGCAGAGGGCAGGGGTCTGGATGCACAGGGGTTGGGCGGACGGGGAAGCAGCTGCCTGTACAGTGACCCCTCCCCCTCCCCCCACCTGCACACCCAGAACCCCCACCCCTCAACTCCGCCAAGCATCATCCCCTGCATCAAGAGCCCCCCACACTTGGACCCCCCACCCCACTGAACCCCAACCAGTTGCACCCTGACCCCCCACCCCCCAAGCCCCACTCCCCCCACACTGAGCCCTAACCATCTTCACCTGGACTTCCGTGCAAAGTCCCATTCCCCCTGCACCCAGAACCCCACACTGAGCCCCTGTGTATCCAGATTCCCCCCTGCACCTAGATCCCCAACCGAGCTGCCCGCACCCAGATTGCGCCACACAGAACGCTGATACTCTTGAGGGAATTCTACGCCAAAAAATTAAATATTCTGCACAAGAAAATTAAAAATTCTGTGCACAATATTTTAAAATTCTGCAAAGTTCTGCATATTGTCAAAATAGCACAGAAACAAAATAATATAATCACACCATTTTCTATTATTTTGGTAATTTATTTCAAAATACTTGTCAGCAAATAATAAAAATGGTGTGGTTATATTGTGTTATTTTGACAAATAAAATATGCAGAATTTTGTGGAATTTTAAAATATTGTGCGCGGCATTTTACATTTTTTTTGTGCAGAATATTTAATTTTTTGGCGCTGAATTCCCTCAGGGGTAACATGTATGGGAATGTATAAGTTTGGTGTAGTGAAGGAGGTTATTGTCTGTAAGACCACTTCCTAATTTGTTGGAGGCAAGGGATTGCAGGGAGAGAAAGGATCGTCTCATGTTTAAGGCAGTACAGTACTGCCCTGGAAAATTTGATTCTATCCCTCTCTTTTCCACAGAGTTCCTATGTGATGCTGAAAAAGTCACTCAAACCAAAAAGTGTTCACAGCTGGCCACTAATTATATGTTCCTCATTTTCTTGGTGCCTAACATGAGACACTTGGTGCTATATTTGCAGAAATGCAGGGCATTCACAGCTATGCTCTGAATATATAATGTGCTATAAAACTGTTAAGTACTCTGAAAAATCAGGCCCTCAGTGTCTCAAGTTGCACACCTTAAATGAGTGGGTACTTTTAACAATTGTAACCTTTATCTCTTTGTCTCAATTCCCCAGTTCTAAAATGGGGATAGGACTACCACGTAATATCACAGGGGCATTGTGAAGAAAATTAATGTTTGTGTGATGAATAAGGTCTGGGGCCACACACTGAATAAGGATGAAAAGAAATATTGAATAAGTACTCATTCACTGAATGAGGCAGTGATCCTGTGGAAAATACAATGTGATCATGCAATTAAAGACTATCATAATGCAGAAGGGAGGCAGAATTAAGGTAGCAGAGACATCCTTAAGTCAGGCATTTCCTAATTATTGAATGCTTGATTTTGCAGCCTTAAAGTTATTTTAATGTAGGATTTTTTGATGCAGTAATATAATAATATTAAATAGTGAAGAGGGCAAACACAGCCCTTGGATGCATAAGAAGGGGAGTATCAAATAGGAATAGAGAGGTGGTATTATTTCTGTATATGGCATTAGTAAGACCATTACTGGAATGCTTTGTTTAGTTCTGGTATTCACAGTTGAAAAATACTACTGGAAATTGGAAAGGGTTCAGAAAAGAACTACAAGAATGATCTGAGTTCTGGAAAACTTGCCTTATAGTTAGAGACTATGCAAAAATGAAATATAATAGAGAGGGAAAGGTCAATCAAGCTTTCCTGAGGGTTCAGGTACATTTTTGAGGGAAAGCTGTAGTTGGTTCTTATTTTATCCAAACAGATTCACACCTCACTAAAAGAAATGTGATGTTGCAGGATTAGTTAATTTTGTTAATACTAATTTCTAGTCTTCACTAGAATACAAGACACATTATAGAAAAGGCAAGATGGAAGCTGTGACCTTTTTTTTTTCTGCTCTACTCTGTTGTCTTTACTGTTACTTCACCTTTCCAACCCACCTCTACTGTGTTTGTATGTTTCATCCACTTAGGATTTCCTGTCTGACAGCATATATCAGGGGTTCCCAAATATTGGGTATACATGCTTGATGATCCATCCATTCACTTCACAACAATTTTTTAAGAAGGTGGTATGTGAACCAGTAAAGTTTGGGAGTTGCTGTCTTAGATTGTATGAACGGAAGTGTCCTGGAACACTCTGGGTGTTTCCAAAATACAGATAATAATAAGATAACAGTTTATAGGCACCCCCAAACACTCTGGTAAATGGAACACTAGATTACCCAACAGAGCTGGGTTCCCAGTATTGTGAGTTGGCAAGTCACTTATACCTGCTCCTGCCTCAGTTTCCCCATCTGTATAATTGGTATAATACTGTAGTTATACCCACTTTTATAAAGTACATTAAGATACACCTCTACCCCGATATAACGCGACCCGATATAACACAAATTTGGATATAACGCAGTAAAGCAGCACTCGGGGGGGCGGGAGAGCGCACTCCGGCGGATCAAAGCAAGTTCAATATAACGCGGTTTCACCTATAACAGCAGAGAGGCCAAGGACTGAATGAGCACAGAGACAGAAATTCCCTTCATAAACAGTCTCTCCTGCTTAGGGTTGAAGCACCTTGAAAAGACAGCATGGGAGATCTTTCATTGCTGCTATACTTAATCTGTAATAAGCACAGAACTTCATTCTTCTGGCTTTTCAATCTGGCAGTGCTCAGAAGAGCTAAGTGCTTGATCCACAAAGGAACTTAGCCGTTGCAATGCCTAACTTTTAGGCACCCTGCATAGTGGAATCCACAGCCCTGAGTGAAGTGCCCAGGCTCTCTATACAATGCATAGGGAGAGCAAGGCACCTAAGAAAGGGATTCCCAGAAGCCAGCAAACTGAGCTGGTAGACACCCCCACTAGCCAGCTGGAATGGAAATGCTAAAGAGAGGGGCGGGGCTTAAGTCCTCTCTCAGGGGATTAGGCGCCTCCCTCCACTCACGAACTTTCTCCAGGAGTTAGGCACCTAAGCCATGTCAGTCCTTTCTTGCAAAAAACCTGAGAAGAAGGTGGGGATCCTCATTATATCTAACAGCCCACTAGCCAGGTCACTTTCTTGGGATATGGGCACTGTAGGTCTGAATCCCTGCTCTGCCTGAAGCAGGGCCCGAGTTGGGGGGAACACTTAGTTTGAGAATTCTGTTGCAGCTTAGGCATGAACACAGAGATGTCAGGATACAGGCTCCTGTGGGCATGTTAACCGGCAGACATTTAGGAGCCCTGAGGACTTTAGCAGTGGAAACATAAGGGCCCAGGGACTTTAGGCACCTCCAGGATTAGGTGGCAGCTGAGTAGGAGTTTTGAGGATCTCAGTGTCACTAAAATGTTGGATTTAGGCACCTAAGTGACAGGCAGTTAAGTCCCTTTGTGATCTAGCCCCAAGTTCACATTCCAAAAACATAGTGGAGGACGGGGAGGGGCGAGAAAGTTATGTTCACAGAGGAAGTACAAGATAGCCCAGGATACATTTATGATGCCATTTCTTTTTGAATAAATACAAATTTCTCACTGCTCATAGTACCACTGTCTTTCCAGCTCCCAGAGACAAACCTCATATTTCACTGACAAAAGCAACATAATTGTACAGACTGTAAACCCTAGATTTTTCAAAAGATCTGCACAGAATTTAATCATACATCCCCCACTGACTTTAATGAGAGCCCTGTCATTAAATCCCCAGGCAACTTTAAAATTTCTATCTATCTTAGGCATTTACAGAGCACCCGTTACATAGCAGCTAGGAAAATTGAAGGAGTATTGTTACTATGCTCACTTTATATAGCCTTCCAATGGGGATAACTACATGTTCTGCTTCACTTTCCCGTCTTCACACGCCTCCAGGGCAGAGTGGAGACGTCTAGTGGTTAGTGACACTGGTTGAATAGTCTGAAAAGATAAGGGCCCGACTGTGCAATCTTTATGACTGAGTACTTTCTCAGGCAGAGCAATTCAATTGATTTCAGTGGGGCTGCTCACGCAGTGCTCACCAGCGTGACTAAGGGTTGCACAATCAAACCCTAAGGAAATACATGCACTGGGAGTGAAGTTACTAGTAATGGATAATTTGAGGCAAGTCTGGATAATAGTAAGCTTCATAATGGCCTGCTGTTTTGAAATGTGCACGCATGCTATGAAATATTTTTCCATTATTTTAATAAAGAGATTTACAGTATAAGCATGTCTTTTGCTTTGACGAAGACAGAGACTGTCTGAACTCAACCCATGAACAATTCCTCTGTTGTAGCTTAGTCTGTTACTAGCCTTATGCTTGTCTATTGGCATTTTATGAGAATAAATGGAATGTGAAACTAGATCCATGGCAAATGGGTAGTTGCTATGTTTGTCAAAATATACAAAGCATCTCTGACCCCTTTAAATTGTTTCGTTTCCTCTGATTAGGGATTTAGACATTATGGAGTACATTTTCAGAAGGGCAGTCTTCTTTTTATAGGTGCAAAGGAAAGTACATTCATTGCTAAGTACTCATTGTGGGTGTAAATCAGGTAGTTTAAAAGTACAAATGCTTTAGATTTGTGTCCACAATTTATTTTTGCAAGTACAAGTTTTGTAGGTACAAACTGAACCTACAAAACAAAGGATGGACCTAACCCCACTGAAAATTAAATCCCTGCGTGTGCTTAAATCTCCACAGTTACATGGACCATTGAGATTAGTACATATAGCAAAGTGAGTTTGCCAGGCTTAAATAAAATTGTCCAGATTTGGTAAGGTTTTTTTTTTTTTTAGTAGTAAGAAGATTAAACCTCTCGATCCAAATCAAAACAGATTTGAGTATACTGAAAGCAATCCTGGAGAACCTTTCTCAATCACTTTAGGTTACAACAGCATGCCATGGAAGCTGATTATATTCATCCTGCTAGTAATATCAATTCCAGCATCACTGCATATGTCCAGTGCTCTATGACCTGAAGCAGATGCTTTTACAAATGAACATACAAGCTCACAAACTTATTCATGGGATCCGTATCTGAAGCAGATTGGAAGTCTGTCTGTCTATATATCTAACTTATGATCTGCTAACATACTCCTCACTGCAGGATCTAAGCACTGCACAGGTAGAACAGATATATGCAGTGAGATCAATAGTGGACTTCATTGAGTATTCTGCTATTCTTGAGGCTCTAAGAAGCTATTTGCGGTTTATTTATATCATTCCAGTCATGGTGCAAAAGCTTCATCAAAAATAAGAGGGCTGGGTCTTGCAGCAAATTCTAAAAGTGGCCTCAGAAGACAAGTAAAAACCGCAATTTCTGCAAAGCCCAAAACATACTCTGTATGGGCTAGATTCTGAAACACTTGCTCATTTCAGTAGCATCTTGCTCCACGTCATCAGTGGAGTAAGACTATTCCAGGTGAATAAGGGTATCCGAATATGGCCACGTGTCTTGAAAAACAAATCCAAGTCACTAAGTGATTTCCCACAGAAACAATCAAATTCTTGTAATTTTTCTGTTAACAGCAGTTCTGCTGACAGTCTGCTGCATGAGGAGGAAGAAAAAGACATCTAACCCAGAAAACAACCTGAGCTATTGGAACAATGCTATCACCATGGACTACTTCAACAGGCATGCTGTAGAGTTACCAAGAGAGATCCAGTCCCTTGAAACTTCAGAGGTACCATAGTTGCATGGTAACAAACCCAGTGATTAACAAGCTTCACTGAAACCATACTAGATTAATAATATTAATAAACTCTTTTGAAAACTTTATGTACATCCAGAGAAACAACCTTTCAAGGAAGTCCATGTGACGACACACTTACTGTATCTCAAAGATTCTATGTCCTGTTGTTAAAGTTATGTTTTGTCAGAAAGCTCTTGCAGTCTATTCCTAAGACTGAATTCCCTGGGTTAAGCAGTACAAGCCAAGGTTATTCACTTTGGCCTTGCCTTAATTTGGGCCTACAGTTGAGAACAGCATTCCAATCAATGAGTGGGAGTGGTTCAGGGTATTTGTGCCAAGCAGTTTGATTTGTGCCAGTTATTGTCTACAGTGGTTCATCTTAATCTCTGTAATGTGCCCATATATCATGACGATGGCACAGTGGAAGTTAACAACATAAAAGATGTCTGAACGCCCAGTTCTCAGGAGGTTTCTGTAGCTTGTCTTGCGACAGTTTCGGGGGTGCATTCTACAAGTAAGAGAAAATTATAAACACCTGTCAATGAGACTGTGAAACCCTTACTTACATGGGTGAGCACTTACCCAAGCATTCTGATTGATTTCAATGAAACTATTCACATGGGTAGGTGCTTACCAGTGCGAGAAGTGTTCGATAGCCTGGTCTCAGAAAGAAGAGGAATTAGTTGGCTTAGTTCAAGGATGTAAATTTGGGAATAATGGATGAAATTAAGCAAAGGAAAATGGATTAAACTCAAGGGGTTTGTCTAGACTAGTGTCTATTTTAACTCAAGTTAGCTGATTGAGTCAGCTTTGGGTAAGTGACAAACATTTGTGTCCAGAAACAAGCCTTTGTGGAGTGTCTAGACTATCATTTACAATTCTGTTGGTTAACTTAGTTAACTGGCAATCATCTAACTCAATTTAAAGCCAAACCACAAACTCCTCTCTAGACATACCAAGAGACAACTTCCTAATGGTGAGATCTGTTAGGGTGTGGAATAGTCACCAAAATGAGAAGGGGTGGAAGCCCTATCACTGAAGTTATTTAAAACTAAATTTGACATAGTATTAGAGAATATATTGTATGAACTGCTAGTGGCCCCAAGGGGCCAAAATGCAACTAAGGATCAGTGCAGCATAGGGAATCTCCCAAAATGCCCTCATATGTCCAGGGCCCATGGCTGGCCATTTGAGATTATGTAGGAGCAGCGAGATGGATAGATATAGATATGAAATACAGCACCCCTTTGAAAAAATGTGTGGATATTTTTGCCTTGGTTTTTTTAAAGTGGAGATTAGTTTTTAAAAACTAAATTTCTATTGATCCCTATCCCTGACCCCAGTAAGTACATTGTGGTTTGGGGCTCTGCAATTTGTAATTTTATAAGAAAATTTAGCCAAAGCCAGAATCGCAACCATAATGTTTCTTTGCTGTCTTGTCACTAATATAATGTGGAAAAGGAACAGCCTCCACTGTTAATGTCATAGATTTTTCTGGATAGCATGGCACCACATATTAGCTCGTTACATTAAAAAAAAAGAGGTTGAAAACGTATCTTTGAATTCATTCGCCCATAATTCCCTTCTATGTAGGCTTGGGAGAGTCTTTCCAGTAGCTGACGGGCTGGGAATCATGGATATGAAATTTCACAAAATATTATTTTTTCCAAAATTTAAAGAAAGCAAAATTACATATAAGGCCAAATTCTATAAAGTGGCCTATAATTTTGGGCTACTCAATTTTTGGGTGACCAAGTTGAGTATGTAGTGGTCCGATTTTACAACCCACAGCTCCCATTGACTGCAGTTAGAGAAAAACCTCCGGAAATCAAGGCCTGGTTTTCTAAAGCTGGATATCCAGAAATTGGGGCACCCAAAATAGGGGACACTTTGAAGTATTTGCACATATTCTCTCGGCTTTGAACTCTATAGGTCTTATAATGTAACCACATTCCTTTATATTCCATAAACACACACACACCAATGTGCTGTTGTGTACACCAAGGGTAGATAACAAAATTTAAATAGCTCATGCTCTTTTTCTCTCTTTCTCCTAGGACCATCTGTCTGAGCCACGCTCCCCAGCCAATGGTGATTACAGAGACAGTGGGATGGTCCTTGTTAATCCATTCTGTCAAGAAACACTATTTGTAGGACATGAGCAAGTGTCTGAAATATGACCCCATACCTGCCCTTGTATTGCAGCTCCATCTTTAGTGTCTCCAAATTATAAATAAATATATATATTATAAATATAATCTTTGTGTAACCTGAATTATGAGAAATGTTTTCAGCTTTTTTCCCCCCTAAGAATTGTCAACCTCTTTTTTATAAGTGTGGTAAAACTTTACAGAGCAAACTGTGGCTTTATAAAATAAAGGTATTTCTAAGCAAAACACCTATTGAACCAACTGCTTTTCCTGCTGTCATTTACTAAATGCTTATACAGAATGTTTAGTCTGTATCACCACCAGGTAAGGTTAGCTTCACTGACGACAGTGCCTGTTTGGTACTACACCCTGTCATTATGCAGGGGCAACCTGCACCTGTGAATCTTCTCTGTCTCTCCATGGGCACTCTTTCCTAGTGACAGGCGTCTACTGCACTTTGTCCAGAATGGAACCCCACAGTTACCCCACTTTAGACAGGATCACTAGGTTTCACCAATTGTATTTACCTCAGCCAACCCAAATTGGTTTGGGTCTGGCTACAGAATCTTCTCCAGGTACTCGTGACCAGTGTAAAAAGCAATGGCTCAGGACAGCTTCTTCTTCTTCTTCTTCTTCTTCAAAAAAAGTATGATTTGTTGGTTCATAGAAATGTAACAAGCAGACACAAACAGGGCTAAAACAAAAAAACCTGAACACATTCTTTCATACCAAAACTTAGTCTTTTCTTGCTAGTTTAAACAGGCCCTTAGCTTATCCAAATCTGAGGGTCAGCTTGCATCTCTTTAGACTGCCTCTCTATGTCTCCTAGGGTCTCTCCCTGTCTGTCAGGCTGCTTTTATCAGAACCAAAATTTTATGTTTTAGTGTCCCACAAGGATCTTCCCTCACTCCTAGTGGTGTCTTGAGTGTGGGTGAAACATAAAAGGTAATGACAGCTGGTGTCGTCTTGCTGAGTACTGATAATAGGACTTATCTGAAACCACTGACAGTTTTCCGGTTCTTGCTGGAATTAAATGTGGTAGTCACATAGCAATATAATAACAATCACAGAAATGTAGGGCTGGAAGAGACCTCAATTGTTAATCTAGTCCAGCCCCCTGAACTGAGACAGGGCCAAGTAAACCTAGACCATCTTTGACAAGTGTTTGTCCAACCTGTTCTTAAAAACCTCCAGTGATGGGAATTCCACAACCTCCCTTGGAAACCTATTCCAAAGCTTAACTATCTTTATAGTTAGAAAGTCTTTCCTAATATCAAACCTAAATCTCCCTTGTTGCACATTAAGCCAATTATTTATTTCTGGTCCTATCTTCAGTGGACATGGAGAACAACTGATCACCATCCTCTTCATAACAGCCCTTAACATATTTGAACACGGACATAGAATATTCATAAAGGTGAAACAGATATCACCCCTGTTTGGCACACATTCTACATTAGATCTGCATGATATATCAAGTGCAGTGATCTAATGTGCTGGGAAATTTTCTAGCTGTTCCTGTGGGATGAGCTATGGAAGACAGACAACACCACACTGAACCCCTCTCAGCCCTAGCACTGTCGTGCTGGACCCAGACAGCATACTGATGCTAGCAGTCCCTGAGCTTTAGGGAATTGGCTAGCAAGCCTGGCAGCAATCCAGTCATTCATTGCCCTAGCAGGGAATGGATAGCCAGATCAATGGCTTGGATAGGGCACTACCTCCTGTGAGCATCTAGCAGCATGAGCTGAGGGGAGTGAATGCTGCATCTTTCACCAATCAACATAAGAAATGTTATACAGCATGCTCCCAAAATGCTCTCTGAATACTTCAGTGAACCATTCTTCTGTGACATCACCACACTCCCAGCACTCCTCCCATCAGACAGTTTTTGCCTAATGATTTAGGGTGATCATAGGAATCTGAATAGCAAATAATATGTGCAATACTGAGGGAAGAATAGTTCTCTAGGGGACTAATACCCTACTCTTCCACAGGCAGGGCCGGCTCTAGGCTTTTTGCCGCCCCAAGCAAAAAAAATTTTGGCTGCCCCGTCCCAGCCCTGGGCTCCTCGCCGGACCCCCTGCTGCCCCAGCCCTGGGCTCTTCCCCCCACCCACACCCCCTGCCACCCCAGCTCTGGCCTCCCTCATT